TACTATCTAGACAACAAAACGTAACTGGAATTTTTTTTCAAGGTACTGTGGATTAAATTCAAGGACCTCATTCTTACTAGGTAAATGCTCAACCACTGAGCAATACCCTGAGCCCTTTTTAAAAATTTAATTTTGAGACACAGTCTTACAATTACCCAGGATGGGTTTTCAATTGTGATCTTCTTGCCTCAGGAAGGATCTTCCTGCCTGAGTAGTTGGGATTACAGGTGTGTTCCACCATACCTAGCCACAACTGAATTCTTGATGACTGAGGCTAGGGTAGGATGCACTGGGGTAACAGACACAGATGTAGAAGCTATAAGAAATTTGACTTTCTAACTGCAGGGTGATTTTATAAATAAATTTGCGCTTTATTCTTATTTGTTGTATGGGCCTAGAGATTATTTTCTAAAGATGCAAACAACGTGAAGAGCTATGTGAGTATTTGTATGTATTGCACTGTACTCAGTCACTGAGTTTGAAATTCTAAGATGTTTTACTTGATTAAAAAGGTATTTATTTAGTTAATATGAGAGGTTACAACTCAGAAAAGTTCTTTTGAAATTTTTACATGCAGCATCATTTTTGTATACAGAGCCAGAGGAAATATAACCATCACATAGTTACCATTTCTAGGAAGATAAGGATGGACTCATGGTTAACTAAAGGCAGAAGCCACATAGAAGGAATAATGGAAGAAAGAGGTAGAGATAAAGTATGGTGTTCTATTATTTCTCCCTTTTTTTCTCTTGCTCTACTCCTAAGCCCTTCACTTTGCAATCAAACAAGGAGGAAAAAATTGTGCTATCCCTCAACACTACCACTTTTCCATGTATTTACACAGATACATCCCAGAAGGTAAATTCATAAATGATGCCACTGAATCAGTAATACCTGGGCTGTGTATACAAACGAATATTACCTGTGCATTGCACTATACCTTATTTATGGGAGTGCCGCTGGAAGAGACTAGGTCACAAGTAGGACAGTAACAGAGACCAAAGGCCCCTTGCAAACCCCATTGGTTCTATGGATCTACAGAGAGCCAAGTGAACCATGCATGTTTACCTGGGGAGCCTGCCAGAGAGTCCCCTCTGCTGAAGGCGAAGGTACGCGACACAGAGACAGGCACTAAAGAGTCAGGGGTATGTGAATAGTAAAAAGAAAGATAAACATAAAAGGAGAGAGACAAAGAGCAAAGTAGGTAAGACAGTCTGTTCCTGGATCTTCACAACATCACATTTCTCTGCAAAAAAGGAACCTTGCCTCTGAAAATATGGAAATTACTTCTGCTTACAAAGTTATTCCCCAGAAAGACAAGAAAATAAGGTTTTGCTGGAATTCTTCTACAAACATGTGCAATTATCTCAGAGGGAGTCAGAGATTCCAAGGGCAAGCACAGGAAGTGCCTAGGTGGGGAGCGCATAGGCAGAATTCTCTCTGTGGTCCCCTTGAATCAGCAATTATGCTGGGAACCAGGACTGCATTCCACTGTGCTTTCCCAGCTGCCTACATGTCTGCATGGGTGTGGAAGGGCACGTGCACAGGCATCAGAGGCCTGAAGGCCAAGTGTATGCTTCTGCTAGGGAACTGGCTCCTGCCTGGGATTGCTAGGTGCTCCTTCTGGAGTTACAGTGCTGGTGAGGAACTGCATTGCTAGAGCATCAGGGCAAAGAAAGGGCTGAATTCTAGCAGTTTTAATGAAAATCAACTTGGTGAATTAAATAACAGCCATTTCTTAGCTCATACAGTGCTCTAAAGCACCTCTCTTTCTACTCCCTTTCCCTTCTCCTTTCCCATAGAGTTGGAAACTGGACTGGCTAACACTTGGGCTGGGGTGGGGTGGTGTGTCTGGCAACACTCCAGTTCTTTCCCCGCCTTGATCTTGATCAGTGGTATTCTGCATGAAAACTGTCTTCAGCCATCTTATCTGATCACTCTCAGTGTCCCTTTCAAGCAGCCAAATGAAGCTAGTCTGCAGGTAAAGGCATATTTAAACAGGTAGCTTCTGTGGTCTTATTTTCTGTACCACATGGTTTTATCTGAAATTACTTACCCATTCAGGGCAGCAAGAGGAGGGCTTTATACCTACCCAATAATTATTAATTGTGATGTGAGATGTTAATGAATATTTGAATGTGTCTTGTGAGACAGTCTCAAGAAGAATCATAGCTCTTCTTGAATTAAATATAAACACCACCAAACAAATAGAAGACTTGTTCCCTCCCTTTTGCACACCACTGTGTGCACCTGTTCCTGGTACCCAAAGTTTGGGCAAGGGTCTTCTAGAAAGCCAAGCTCACTCACCATAGTGTTCTGGGTTCCCAGGTGATCAGAATCAAGATAATTCAGACGGTGTAGATTATGTTCCTTTTACCCCACCCAGGAAAACCAGACTTCCTTGTAACCTCAAGTTCACCTTTGAGGCATAGGTCACAGGACCAGTGTTCTGACAAATTCTTTATCTCACTTATAACTCAAAAGTTGAGTTACAAACCAGCTATGGGCTGGTTTCAAGGACAAGGGGAGTTTGTTAGGCCAAGATCTTACAAGATTTTACTTCTCTGTTTTAGGACTAAGCTCTCCCTCAGCCTACAAACTGAGATTCTTGGCCAAAGACACTGCTGGAGGCTAGGATCTGGGGTTAGTACTGGAGGAACAATCATGGGGTTTGGGCAGACTTTACAGTTATTTTATACTCAACTCTCTTAAGTTGGGAGGGGTTGGGGAAAGCAGGGAAATTTATGAAGACGCTCAGAAGTGTGGAGAAGGAAAGTAAGTTCAACTCTGCCTTTTAGTTAACTGATTTTAAAGGAGAGATTAGCAGTGTAAGTTTACTCATGGATCACTAATTAAACTGAAGGATTATGGCAGAAATAATTAGGGCCAGGAAGGAAAGAAAGGAGGAAATTGGATAATCTCTCTCTCTCTCTCTTTTCCCCCCTCTCTCCCTTCTTTTTCACTCTTTCATTTTTTCTCTTCCTCTCCCTGCCCTCTCATTCTCTCTCCCTTTTTCTCTCATTCTCTCTTCCTGTTTCTCTCACTCTCCCTCCATCCTCCCCTCCCTCCCTCTCTCTCTCTATATATTATATCCATTCATACACACACACACACACACACACACACACACACACACACACACAC